GMTMYWGATATTTTCTTTTTTTCTTTTTTTGTAATTTACGATCTTATTGTATTTATATCCTTAATTAACTTAACTTCTAAATTTGTTGTTTTTAATCCTATTCAGCTGAAAAACCCATTTAGAGAGCATCAATAAAAGTATGTATGTAAGATGTTGGTTGCAGTAATGTTACACTGTGCTACAAATTACACTGGTATGGGTGATATGTCCAATGTAACGGCTGCTTCAAAAATAAGAGACAGCCCCTGTATCAGGCATCTACAAGAAGCTGGTGTTCTTAACCAGGCATGGGGATCCCTATTTGTATTTTATAACACAAACAACAGACTGACAACTGCTGGGTTTGACAAAAATCTCACTGCTGTTCAGGGGAAGGACCTTAAAGTAAATAATTGCATAACTAATAACTAACCATGCCATTCATTTTCTGTACATACAAGTATTTGTCGTATCGTCAAAACCAATGCATACATGGATATCAAAAAAATGTACATCTGAAAAAGAGATTAAAACATGAAATAAGATTTTTGGAACCAAATCACTTTTAAAAGCATCTGATTTTGTCAAATTTTATGTACACTTTAATGACAAGAATGTGAATCGTACTCACTGTAAACAATACAAAGAATTTCTGATTGTCTTCCCCGACACAGTTATTTATCCTATGAAGAGAAGAACAAGCTTCATTCTACAATTCCTGACAAAAAGAAAATTTTAAAATACTTACATACTAATAATCAATTAAGTCTTGATCAGTATTTTCCCTAGGATATGCATGTATGGAAACATTTCATCCCAGGGCTGGACACTAACTTTTCAACTTACTAGCCAAGTGGCTAGTGACATCTTAGATGTTACAACAATTTCAATTTGTTTACTAGCCAAACTGGCTGGTGGAGATAAAAAACCACTAGCCAAAACCAAATTTCTACTAGTCTGTGGTTAGTAGTGGCTACTGTTAGTGTCCAGCCCTGCATCCTCTCTTTACTAATCATGTTAGCCCTTTAATTAATTCCCCAGATCTGATTGTTAATTCTCCTCTCTAACTGCTACACATTTTCTTGCAAATTAGTTACAAGAATTTGGTTTTACAGATCAACATAACAACTTCTAGCTGATACCTTTGAACATTCTTGTTACCTGTATGCTAGATAATGTATGGGTATTATAAGAGAGAAATTACATCTTAATCACTTCTTAATTGCAATGGTTCTAGGATCAAGTGGACCAAATGGCAGGGCTGGACACTAACGGTAGCCAACTAGCCACAGACTAGTAGAAATTCAGTTTTGGCTAGTAGTTTTCCATTTCCCTTAGCCAGTTTGGTTAGTAAACAAACTGAAACTGTTGTAACATCTGAACCATCACTAGGTGCTTGGCTAGTAAGTTGAAAAGTCAGTGTTGAGAGCTGAATAGAGTTAGAATTTTCAGTCTGATTTGTTAATCAGTTGCGTGACCACAGACATAATGGCATACGAACCTAATGGCATATGCAATGACACATACTTTACACAGGCAAGAACCATTCACTATTCCATTAGTGGTTAAATGTGGATGCATATAGCCAACCAACTTCAAGATATATGTATCAGTTATAGTTTTGATCAATGTATTTATTAAAGGCTTAGCATACCACGGACAGTGGTGATCCATTTTCCTGAATAAACAAAAAAAATAGTAACGTTTCTTCGATAATTTAATAGCCTTTTCTTTCACATAAACTTTTCATTCACATATTGTGTTGGGTTTTCATCTAACATTTAGAAGCATATCTTAGCTCTGACAAACCTGGCATACCCCTCTCCAAATATCGCTGAGGATCTCAAAGGGACTGCAAGCTACCCCATGAAAGTGCCAGTGCAGATTCCAATTCAAAAAATTTGAAAAATCTAGCTGTAAATTTTTTTTATAGTAAGTTGCTCACAATCGTAGGTAAACTTCTCAATCTGCAATCATCTCCATGCATTCTTTATTAATCATGATTGATTTCCTCTGGGAAAAGAACTGAAGTCAGGATCTAAATAAGACATGTAACGAGTCTAATCCAGTCACTGACTTTGGCTCTCAAGATCCCAGAAACAAACCAACATTAAAGCTGAACCTGATTTAAGCGGCATCGTTTGAAGCCCTCACCCTGTGTTAAGCATTTAGTTGTCAAAGTCTCAAGTTTGTTTCCCCTTAACCACTTTTTTACTTCTATTATCATTCATCATTTATAATTATTATTTCAAAACCAATAAGTTACATATTCAATTAATCAGTCCATTATTGCATCTTTGAAATGACTAGTGTGTTCAATAATCAAATAATAAATTCATTATTGCACCCTTAAAACTACTAGTGGGTTCAATATCCAAATATTTAATTCATAAATGTAATACTGAGGGATATGCTTCCTTTGGTTTGGCTATAATACAGGTTCAACTATATTGGGGTAATTTTTGCTTCTCTTTGCTTCTCTGATATTCTAGTCTTCATTTAAGAATAAGATCATAAGTGAAAGAAAATGACTAAAATTAAAAAGACTTACCTAATACACCTTTGACAAGTGCTAAAGTTACCAAAAATAGAAAGCAGACCGAAAGGTCAGTCAATTATTCAACAAAGTCACTACATATTAGTATGTCCTTTCTGGAGAACACAAAAAATCACTTGATTGTCTTTTCAGAGATGCTCAAAAACATTCTTAAACACCGCAAAATATATCTTAACATCTTGCAATTTTGAACTGCTTCAGCCAAAATTTTATATTTGACACCACAGCAGTATTGTGGGAAGAAGGACAAAAACAGTTCCTAGGGTGATCTATATCACCAGTATCCTGTACTATCTACCTAATTATGTAGACTATATTAATTTATCTTTGGTCCATAAAATTTGAACCGCTCTCAGCTGGTTGTAGTGCAGAACTATCTAAACGTTTCGAAAAAAAAAAAGGAAGAGGCACAGAAAACAATGCTTTCAACATTTCTAAATATACCCTGTTGTTCACATTATCTCAGAAACTCCCTTTACATCCACAAATATCATAACATATAGCGAGAAATTTTGAGAGAGAGGCCTAATATTAATTGACGCCAAACTTGCCATTAACACTCATACCTGCAGTGGTGAGCTCTGTCAAGCTTGATGCACTCACATCTGGTGCATCTTAAAACTACTTCTCCTTCTTTTAACTGAAGCTTCTTTAAATTTTCTGTAGTGCAATTTCCTAAGGGGATGGTACCCTACAGAAGTCAACAAACATACAGTCAAGTTACAAATGTGTAATGTATTTCCCAAGTCTGATCAAAGAACCCAAATCATTAATTATGAGAATCAAGAAACTTCTGATGGAGAAAAAAACACTTCCCTATCCCAGACTAGCACATGTTTGACATTCTTTAGTGACTGTAAACATTTATATCATTATGTAACCATGCAAGGTTTTTTTTTCCCAGTTTTTGACAGGGATTAATGAACAGAAATCCATCAACATTGCTGACAGAGTTACCTAAAATTGATAAATTTGGCCAGTTTGAGCGTGATTAGTGGACAAGCAACAAAGATGACTCTTAAAGTCCTTAAATTGTCTGGTGGGGGGCATACGTTTCCTCCATCCAATACAAACTTCGGTAAAATTATAAGATTTTGGGCAGCTACATCATCTAAAAGTTGTTAATACATCACCCTCAAAATCAGCTCTTATATTGCTTTTATAGTGCTCTTTGAAGCAATGCCAATGCATTTCCACTCAAGATTACTGATCGATGTCAACGGTTCAGAGAAACCATAAGGGTCTATTAAATACATCCCCGACTGGCTAATATAAACAGGAGTTAGTCGAATCTTGCTTGTTTACTTAAACAAAAATCTACTCAACAAAGGAAGGGACAACATGTAAAGAAACCACATTGTACAAAAAGTGGTAAACCTAGACTAAACCAGAGCAGCCATGCAATTCCAAAATAGCGACTCCTTTATCGCAGAAGTGACTCCATTGAACCAGATAATTTAAACTTAAGTAAACACGCTGTCATACCAATAAAGCTCAGTAAGGCAATTAAACTAAATACTGGGGAGACAGTAAAACTACAGCACCAAAGACTTACTGGATCACTACACATCGCTCGACTATGAGCAACAAGAGCAAGACCCGCCAACAGAGTAAAAGCAATGGCGTGGAAAACTCCGATAGCAGCTGAAGTTACAACCTCAGGTAGAAGCATTACAAATACAACCACAAACTCGGCGTACGCTATGAGTAAATAGGTAAAAATCGCACATCCAATTCCGACTCCATCGTTTACAAACCATGATAAGCCACAACAGTTCGATTTTCGGCCCATGATCGCGGCTAAATTCACGGAAGTCCAATATCATCTCTGGCTTATATGGCCCGTCATTTGCATGCAGCTGGTGGATATCTGAGCCCGCGTACCATTTGATTCTTAAGTCAGTTGTTATGACAACAGTACATTTATCCGGGATATTAAAAACATTTGTTGGTTTCGAAGGAATCAATTTTTGGTCCGAAAACCGTCCAAAATGCCTGAACCTTCGCTAGAAATTCACCAAGCTGAAACGAAAGAACCAGAGCAGGAGGAAGGTGGAACAGATAAAGAGCAGGATGGGGAAACGAAAACGGAGGAAAATGAGCCAAGGGCCGACGAAAACAAGCCGAAAGAACCCTACGATGCAATGCGAAATGAACCTCATTTAACCAGCTTGATTGTGGAGTCGTATCTTGGAGAAAAAGATGAGAGAGGATTTTTTCATGGTATTGGAACTGCGTATTTCCGAGGCAATCATGTTTACTCCGGTTCTTTTGTGAACGGGTTAATGCACGGCATGGGACAATACATATGGGCTAATGGTATTAAATACGATGGAGAGTTTAAAAGCAATGTTATAGAAGGGAGAGGAGTGTACACTTGGACGGATGAAAGCACTTATGATGGTGAAGTTAACGGCGGCTTAAGGCATGGTCAAGGCACGTACGTCTGTGGTACAATTCCTTCTTCGTACACTGGGGAATGGAAATACGGTAAACGCTCGGGAGAAGGAATTCTGCGCTATGACAAAGAAGGCTCGTCCTATTATGACGGACACTGGGCAGATAACAAAAGACACGGGTTTGGTATGAGGAGGTATGCCTCAGGGAACATATATAAAGGAGATTGGAGGGATAATGTAAGGCATGGTACAGGAACGATGCACTGGTAGAACAAACATGAGCGATACGAAGGGCAGTGGAAGAATGGCGTGCAGCACGGTCAGGGAGAACATTCTTGGTATCTGAAGCGTATTCCTGGATCTCAGTACCCATTGCGGAATTATTATGTGGGGGAGTGGATGCATGGACTGAGGCACGGGTATGGTACATTTTACTATGCCACAGGGGCTAAGTACGTGGGAGAATGGATGGACAACAAGAAGCATGGTAATGGAAAGTATGTATTCAAGAATGGCTTGGTTTTTGAAGGTAAGAAATACCTTAAAGATCACTGCAGTCATCATATTTAACAGGCTGTGAGCTGATACCTAGACTATCTTGAGATATTGCTGCAGTACTCTTAGGGTGGGTTGGATAACAAAACTGTGTTCTAAACTATTTAGCAGTGTTCACCACCAGTGCCAAAGCAGCTTTTATTTAACCTCCTGAAAAGAGGTATAAAATTGGCAATTGTTTGTTAGCTCAGGTGTAAGCTACAGTTAAAACACCATCTAATATAACAATTCTCTTTTTGAATTTCAGGCACATTTGAAGTGGATCACATGGTAGACTTCCCTGAATTAAACCCATCTGGCATGATGACCCCTGACATCCTGAACTCGGGACTTCCTCTTCGATCTGGCACCCCAGTGCGATCTGCATCACCTTTCATGACCCAAGAAAACTCTGGAAATCCACTCAATTTGAGCATTGATCTTCTTTTGGATGAGAGAGATCTTGATCTGTATGAGCGTGAAAAGGAACTCCAACAAGTCAACCATGTCCTTCTGCGGCATGTCAGCAAACTGAAAAAGATTTACAGTTTCTATTCTTTTCTTGGCCGACAGGAATCTGTTGATAACACATTTGTCATGAGTAGACTCCAGTTCTGGCGTTTCTTGAAGGACTGCAAAGTCCATCATCGTGGGTTTACAATATCAGAGTTAGATCGCACAGTGGCACCTGACAAGTCGGTTGATTTACATGAGCCCCAGCATGAGGTCCTGATGCGTGAGTTTTTAAATGCAATCATCATCATTGCCTACCATATCTACAGTGATGAACACCGTGGACCGGATCTCCTGCTTCCTTGGTGTGTTTCACAGATTATCACTGAGAATATCCTGAAAAATCCTTGCAAAGTTGGTGGAAGCTTGTTTGAGGATCCATCAAGAGCAATTGAAGCCATTAAATACATGCCACGCAGCTGGGACATTTATTGTGGGTTGTGTGTGCCAAACACATACTACCCTCATGAACCAATCTTCAGGTCCAGACAATTCATGTTCATGCTTAGTGACTTTCGACTTATTAACTCTGACCTGAACCCAAGGGAAGTGTTGCAGATCCTTGCAAAGGATAATCCAGAGTTGGCACATGATGATTTCTGTAATCTGGAGCTAGAGATGACATTCCTGGAGTTTTATGAAGCCCTTATTGACTGTGCGACAGTCTTTGTTACAGAGGCTGTCTTGAAAGGGCATCTCTCACCCAAAGCCACCCCTGTTCCATCTTCAAGATCCCAGAGTCCTGCCAGTTTTACACCAGCAACTTCAAAGCCTGGTTTGGAAAGTCCAGATGAAGGTTTGTCTTAAGGGATCTTACTTATGGTTTGACCCACAAAGAAGTGAGGTTGTAAGAAAATAATTTGGTTCTATCAACATAGCTGAAATTGTGAATTGGCTGCTGTAAAGAGTTAAACTCTTTACTGAGGCCAATCTACAATTTGAACTAAGTTGATAAAACTAAACTATCTTTTTACCCCCACCAATGCAGCACCACAGTTTCTTTAGAAACTTACCCCCTTTATGCAGGTTGTAAGGAAGTCTTAAAACTTAACAATTTCTTTAACTCCCTCTTGCTCATGTACTCTGATTCATAATACTAGTCCTTTCTTGTTGTTCTATTTTTTTCTTTTTGCTTTGAGACATACACTGCTGCTCAAAAGTAAGTGGACAGTCCCTCATAACTTGATTCTTGATC